ATAGTTAATTTGATACTAATATCAATATATTTTTGTCAAATTTTTATGATATCTTCAAACATATATTTTATTCAAAAATAAAAACATCATCGTTTTCTCAAAATCACATAAAGTCATATTATAACATCGACTGAGATAAATAATAAAATGAAATATTAAAATCACGATGTATCTCGCTGCATTGCACGAATACACTTCTAGTTATTTAAAAATACAAAGACAAAAGTTACGTATCTGAATACACAAGACTTGTATAAAATATGGTGATTTTAATTTAATAATAATAAATATATTGTTGAGAAATTCACCTACTCTGACGAATCAAGGATGTGATAAATTATTAATTTTTAGATGACCACATTGTATTTATTTTAATTTATTTATCGGAAAAGTAATTTATTTGTGATTAAATAATTAAGGAATATCTTTTTGGATTAATGTGCTTTTTATTATTTAATGTCATTAAATTAAGGGATAAATTCAGTTTTAGATTGTAAGAAATATAATAATAAATTAAAATATGTAGATACGTGTTACCAGAAAAGAATCTTGATATTAATTAATTTTAATACATAAAATCTCTCAATATTAAAATTCGTATTAAATTCATAGCACATGGATCATAAAAGGTGAATCAATTGTGTTTTATACACGATAGATAGATTTTATAGTATTTTTTTATTAATCTGGATATTCAACCAATTATGTAAGTCGATTAATCTCAAAACAAACATTTGTTTTGTAATTGTCCAGAGTCATCGTATTTTAACCCATGTGGTCACAAATAGATTTTTATACCTCTTTCGATTTAATCCTGAGACCTTCTGACATTTTTGATCTTTGAAGGCTAAGCTCAAACCAATCAGGCACCACACTTGTGAGTGTTAGGATTAGTTCTATACCTATAACTAATTTTATAAAATTATGAAAATGATAGTTAAGAAAACTTGTTAAATAAAATCAGTTTAGATTAATAGTGTTTGATCCATATTCATGTTATTTTTCATATAACATCTTTTTTTATGATGGAATTTTTTAACCCTTAGATAATGTTTTATAGGGACGGACCTATAAATTTTTTCAAATGATGACACCATTTGACTATAAGAAAAAATTATAGGGAATTTTTTTTCAAACGATGATACAATTTGACTAAGAAAATGACACTAAGGTGACGTTTGGTTCGCAGATTCTGAAGGAATCTGAAGGAATTAGAATGTTGAATTCCTTTGACCAGATTCATTTCCTTCGTTTGGTTCATTCTTTTCAGCGGAATGAATCTTCAGATTCCTATGAATTCCATGGATAAAGGATTTTAACATTCCTTAGCAACTACATGATATTTTGATGGAATGAAATCTCTATCTTCATTATACGAAATATTCCCTTAACCTAATATACTATAATCTCATAAAACTCAATATGACCATCGTCGACCACCTCTCGACCACTATTGATCTGAACCACCGCCGACCACCACTACCACCGACTACCACCGGTCTGAACCACCACCGACCACCACTGATCTGAACCACCACCACCGACCACCACCACCACCGATCTGAACCACCGCCGACTGCGACAAATCTGAACCACCGCTGACCATCATTGATCTGAACCATCGCCGACCACCACCACCGATCTGAACCACCGCCGACTGCGACAAATCTGAACCACCGCTGACCATCATTGATCTGAACCATCGCCGACCACCACCACCGATCTGAACCACCGCCGATCTGAGCCACCACTGATCTGATTCACCGTCAATCTGAACCACCGCCGATAACCGCCATCTGAACCACCATGGACCACCACCGATCTAAACCACGCTGACCACCACCACCGACTACCACCGATCTGAACCATCGTCGACTACCACCGATCTGAACCACCGTCGACCACCACCACCGACTACCACCGATTTGAAATACCGTCGACCACCACCACCGACTACCATCAATCTGAGCCACCACTGATCTGATTCACCGTTAATCTGAACCTCCGACGATAACCACCATGGACTACCACCGATCTGAACTACTGTTGACCATCGTCATTTGAACCACCACAGACCACCATCGATCTGAACCACCGCCAACTACTACCGATCTAAAGCACCGTCGATC